GCATGTGTATGTGTGCCCTTGTAATGCTGAGACAGGCTCTTCTCAAATGATGTGATCCTGCCTGCATAGCCAGCACCTGAAACCTGGCTGCTCTGGGACATGTGCTGAGTTGGATGCTAGCATAGGATAGCACTAGTGTTGCATGCTGGACTTGCAGAGTCCTGGCTTGTGTGAGGTTTGTGGTGATTGACTGAGTTCTCTCTGAATGCAGTACTGTGGATGAAGGTCGAAGGTCCAGCCTCTGCTTTCTCCTGGTTTAATCCACAGACAGCTCCAAGTCCCAGCCTCAGAACAAGGAGGTATTCAGGGAGAAGAAAATGAGGACTTTCACAAAAACATGGGCTTCACTGTTTGTTCTCCAGACCTGATTAGTTATCCCTTCTGTCTGTTCTAGGTAAAAGGCATAAGTGTTATCTAGCCATTCTTTGTAAGGGGGACCAGAAAATGTAAGAATCTGGAGATTCCATGTGAGTGGAAAGTCAGTGCATGGGCTTGGAGAACACAAATGTCTTCTTTTTTCCTTCTAGGATATCTAATGTGTATTCTGCTGGTAAAAGCAGGAAGGAAGTAAGCAGGGAAAAATTAAACAGGAGGATGTCAAAAGAGTAGATAAATGCTTCTGAGATGCTTGCAAGAGGGTAAGTGTAGAGTACATAACATCTGTTGCTTTATAAGCGCACCAGCCTGATGTGGCTTATCCTGAAGACCAAATTAATGCTGTAAACAAGACAGTGCTGAGGCAGAGGTGAGGAGCAGCTGACCCAAGTGAGGCTGCATGAAATAAGCTATTATGAGGAGGCTTTAAGAGGCAGCAATTGAATCTAGGAGAGGTCTCTGAGGTGTTTTGCTACTGGCAGCATGATGTGAGAGAAGGAACAGTGGATGTTGTATTAGCATGACACACCTGCTCTGTGTAAATGTGATTCAAAAATGTGTTATATTATAAAAGCAAGTTACTTGGGGGGGGGGAGTTTATAGTACTTTGTGTTCTTATGTGGCTGGTTTAGAAGAACGAGTAACTTCAGCAGCTTTGTATAATGGTTAAAAAGATGCTAAAATGTGAAGGTTAATGTAATAACACAGATTGTAATTCTAAAGAATCAATGCTGTTAATTTCTCATTTTTAGAGTTGTTTTATGTGTATTTATTTGCTACTTTGAGTGTCTTTTGGCCTCAGTGCATGAGGCAGCATGTTGTGTGCAGAGAACAACAGTGGCTGTGGACTTTGGTCTTTTCACACTGTGGTGGGAAAATGGCAGTGAAACAGCGTCCCATGAAGCAACACTAACTTGCACTGCGGCTTTTTAAGCTAAGAAATTGTAAATTCCCAATCAATTAAATGGAAGAAAGGTTTTTTTTTTACAGCTTTATGCTTTTCCTTAGCTCTTATTGCAAATAGGGTACCCTGCCCTCCCAGCGAAGGTAAAGAGGAGTCTTCCCTGAGAACCTCTGCAGCTTCTTGAGTGTATGTCTGCAGAGACAAACTGATTTTCTCTTTACAGGGGAGGATGGGAGGATGTTAAACTCTGCATGCCCTGCCCTGTCCCTGCTATTTCATTGCTGCTCTTTCTCCCTTCCTAATCCCTGTGTAGCCTGAGAAGAAAGGTGTTTGCAGCCTCCTGAAGGATACTGTTGAGATCAGTGCGGTCAGAGGAGCTGTTCCTATGGAAGAGGCTCTCCCTGACCTGAGGGGTGGTGATCAGTGACCTGCTGCCTTCAGCTCCTTTGGATGCAACCCTGAGCAGAGACTTGGGCTGCTTCCACTGATCCCAGCAAGAGCAGGGCTTGGCCCAACTGGCAACCACATACTCAGGTTTGCAGGATAGAGTCAAAGGTGATGACCTCCTGTCCCCGGCTTTGTAAGAGATCACAAGGAAATCTTCTTCTCCCCAGCATATTCTGTTTAGCAAAGGCAATTCTTCAGTATTAGTAGCAGATGAGATAGGCATTCAGGTAGAATCTCTAGAGATAAGCATTTACCTTTTTTATAATGAACCCTTATTCTCAAGGAGTTAAATCATGCTGGGCTGACACTTGCACGATTTTATCACTGGGGATTTGAAGTGGCTTTGCAGCTATGAAATAAAATCCTTCAGTAGTTTCTGATGCTTCAACAGACCTTCAGATATGCATGATTTTTTTTTTGTTTTTTATGTGGGGGTTGTAACAAGGTTCACCAGTGGTTAAAGTACATCCTCAGTACTTTAGCGTGTATGTAGAGACTGCACCAAATGGCTCTAGGAGGGTCCTTATGATCCTTAAAGCACAAATACATTAATAAATAAGAGGAAAAATCTGCCTTGTTATCTACAGGACTAAAATGGCTTTGAAGAGCAGGACTTGTGCTGTCTCATATAAGGAGGCGGGAAAGCAGGATGTCATCCCTCTTCAGTAGAACATTCCTTTGCTGTATCTGAAACTAATGAATGTAAACTCGTGCCTATTTTTGCTTGATTTCCTAAAGGTGTACAAATCTCTTGTTTTGCCTCTTCCTTTTTTCTTTGCAGCTATTTTTTTAAAATACTTTAATCTTAGGCTGTGGGCATTCCATGTCAAATAAAACTTTCCTTCATTGAGTGTGGCCTTTGTTTCTAAATTCCCTGGCGAAACTTGCTAGAACCTCATTCTCTGGTTGCTGATGTAGTGACAGTTGTGTGACATTTCTGGTGTTAGTGATGGTATGAAACAAGGCTCGCTTTTCCTGGAGTCAGAGTGCTAAAAGTAGGTTTTCTTGGTCTATGGGGTTTGTTTGCATGGGGACTTTTGCTGCTTCTAGCAAAGACAAGTCTGTGGATGAAGCAGGTTCTAAACCAAGACAATTCATTGCATGTTGAGCAGTGGTTGAAAGCTGGGCTTTCATTTCTGAGCTGTTTCTGGCTCCGTGGTGGTTTGGTTGTGTTTGGGTGTGATGTGGGCAGGCCAGCAGGCTCTGCTAAAGTGGTAACAGAAATCCCAGCGAGGAGCAGAATCTCTTCAACACTGTCCAAGTTCTTGTAGCATTCTTACCAGCCTCCTAAACGGTGTGAAAGAAACCCAGCTAAAGCCTGTGGGTTGGTATCAGAGGTGCCCATCTGCTAAGCAACGCAGGAAACTCATCTCAATCATAGCGTGTTTAAATACTTTCCTTTCCGAATGGTGCAGAAACCAGACTGAAGCAGGCAAGCTCCTTGCTTCCACAGTGATTAAGATTCCATCCATACACTTAGTACAAGCCAGCCCCGGTTAGCGTTAATGCAAGTCTGTCATGAACTGGGATATATGCAAATAAAACCTTCATGAATAGGAAGGTTTCTGTCTTATGCCACACCCTGAACGTTGGTTGGAAGAGTTAAAAGGAGTTTGTCTCGGTTTCCATGGTGTCAGACTGTATATTCATTCCATCTCCTACAGCAGCTTTGTGCTTTCTTATGCTGAAGGAACAGAGCAAAGGCTGTGCTGTGTATTGACACTTTCTTCTTCTGTTCAGGAAGGAGTGGGTGAATATAGCAATGAAGCCCACAATTTTCAGTACTTGTCATGGTACATAGATCAAATGTAATCCACTCTGCCAGCATAACTCTATATTCAATAGCTTGGGAAGGAGGAGATTTATTTAACTCGACTATGAAAGCAGCAAATCACTCATGCTACCTCGCAGCAGCCTTCTGCAACGAGCTTGACTTCTGCAGTAAATATTTGCTCTTTCTCTCCAAATAATAAGACTTTATTGCTATTTTAATTCCTGCAATGGGGGGAAATGTGTCAGCTTTGAAGAACCTGTTGGAATTAATAGGATGTAATCATCATTGCTATCTAAAATAAGGTATTTCACAACTGCAGGAAAAGGAGTTTTCTCCCTGTTTGGGTGAACGTGTTGGGGGATAGAAACCCTTTCCTGACATATACACAAATTAAAGGCACCCCCTTGCCTATGTTTATCACTTGTGCTGCTCTTGCATATTATTCTGACAGGAAAACCCCATAAGTTTTACGTTATAAGACAATTTGATGTGCTCATGTAAAGATGGCTTTGCCTTCTGCAACCTTTCCTGTGCGATGCTGCTCCTGGGTCTCGCTTGTGGAGTGCTGCAGTTTGTTCTGGTGGTTTGGGCTCCGCAGGTAAGTATTACCCTCTGGGGTCACACTGATTTCAATTTGGTCTTCAAAGCAGCTGATTGCAGTGCTCAAAGTTAGTTGGAGAGGGGACGAAAGGTTATTACCTTTAGACCAGGTGGTGCCTGGTCTTTGTAATGCCTTTTGAAGGGTGCACGTTGTTTTCTGCCAGGGCTTTACTTCAGGAGTTTCACATGTGCACGTCCGCTGGTCCTTCACTGAGCTATAAAGGAGATGTGGCTATTAAAAGAAGGATAAAAAGAGGCATTTTCAATTTTGGAGAGGTTATAAATTGAAAATCATCACCTGTGTGTTGAGCTAAGAAACGGGCTTAAGCTGTGCAAGAATCCAGTGCTGTGGTAACACCGTTGATAAGATGAAGGATTCTCTTCAACCAGCACCCTTTAAAGGGTGACAGGACACAAGGGGATTTTATGTCACTGACAGCGGGTGAAGGGGATGAAGCAGCTCCTCCAGCACCAGCCCCACACGGCCCCTCCCATGGCGGGCACCACACGGCAGCAGCGGGGTGAGGAAGGCTCGTCAGGGCGCTGCTGCCCCTGGGCCCGGCCCGGCCCGGGGCTGTGGGGACACCAGGCGCCATTGGACCCCTCACCAAGCCCCTGCCTCAGCCACGGCGGCGGCGCAGCTGACTGGTCGAGAACTGGCGGCAAGGGAAGCTGTTCATTGGCTGATCTGCATCACTCCTTTCGCCAATGATTTAGGGCAATGACACCCGCCTTTCTTCCGATTGGCTTTTCCGCCCCCTGCGCCCTCCTCCTATTGGACATCGATGTTAGCGGCTTATTGGTTTTGCCGCTCCCCGGGCTGGGTTTTTAATTGGGTGTCTATGGGTTGGCCGGCGCCTCACCTGCCGCGCAGCGTCATTGGCCAGCCGCTCTCCGCGCTCCCGCCCATTGGTCTCACCGCCCCTTAAGTACGTTCTGATTGGTCGCCGTGGCCCGGCCCGGTATCCGGGTAAGATGGCCGCAGTCGGTGAGTGCTCGCTGCCCGCTCCGTGGCGGCCGGTCTCCCTCACTCACGTCGAGTATCCCGCAGGTAAAGCTCCGCTTCACCCCAACCCCGCTGCCCGCCGCTCCGCTGCCCGCGGCGGGGCCCCTCCCGCCGCCCCACGGCACCCCTGAGGGCCGGGATGGCAGCTGCGAAATAGTGAGCCATTGAGCTGCCGGCCGGAGGCGGCGGGGCGCGCGTGCGCCGGGGCGCGCTGCCACATAGTGAGCCGCCGTTTGGGGATGGGGGGGAACGGGACGGGACTGGGTGCTGCGCATGCGCCTGCCTCGGAGGGTACCGAGCCCCAGCTGGTGAAGGGGTCCGGGGGGGCCGCCCTGTCCCGGAGCCGTGGGGACCCCCCCTCTATGCCGCCCTCCACTCCCCACACCACGGCTTCACCCCCTCCGCAGCCCCCCCCGGACGTGGGAGGCTGCCCCTGGGCCTCGAGATGTGGGTCCCACCTGGGGCATCCCGCACCCCACAGCAGCATGGTGGGGCGGGTGTCCCCCTCCTCGCCCCGCTGTTGGGTGTGTGGGTGATGGTGGAGGTTTGAGGTGGTGTGTTAGGGCTCCGGTGTGTCCCTGTGGCGTGATGGGGACTCTGCCTCTTGAGGTGGGCCTGGCTGCCGGGTGGAGTGAGTCCAGAGGAGGACATGAGGGTGATGAGGGGCTGGAGCAGCTCCTGTATGGAGACAGGCTGAGAACACTGGGGCTGTTCAGCCTGGAGAAGGGAAGGCTGCGTGGAGACCTCAGAGCAGCTTCCAGTGCCTGAAGAGGGGCTCTTCATCAGGGACTGTAGTGGTAGGACAAGGGGTGGTGGGCTTAAACTCAAGCAGGAGAGATCTAGTTTAGGTCTTAGGCAGAAGCTCTTCCCTGTGAGGCTGCTGAGGCGCTGGCGCAGGGTGCCCAGAGAAGCTGTGGCTGCCCCATCCCTGGCAGTGTTCAAGGCCAGGTTGGACACAGGGGCTCGGAGCAAGGTGCTCTAGTGGAAGGTGTCCCTGCCTGTGGCAGGGGTTGGAACTGGATGATCTTAAGGTCCTTTCCAACCCAAACGACTCTGAGCAGGCAGCACTGGGGTTAATGCTGGGAGCATGGCAGGCACAGGGCTCCACTCAGGCCAGCTCCTGGCAAGGTGGGTTTGGGTACAGTCAGTGTTGAGAAGCAGCGGGTGCCATCGTGCAGGATGCACTGTTCCAGCTGGGGCAGTGGTGTGATCCACTGAGCTCCTGCACTGCAGCCTGCCTGCCCCTCGCTGTGGTAGGGAGAATCCCTGATCCATCCGTGTGCAAGAGCGGATGGGTCTGTGTACGGATAGCAGTTGTCTATTAGTAACTGCTCTTTAGGTGATTTGTGCTGGTTTTGGGTGAGATTGAAAAGAATAGTTTTTGGCTGTTTGTTGGGATCAAAGGGAACAGAAAAATCAGGGTATGAAGTGTCAGAGCATTAGTACTGACAATCTGGTCAAACTCAAATCTGGGGGTAACTGTGTTCTCAGCATTGCTGGTTCTCCTCCCAGGTCCCTGACTTGCCACAGAGCGTTGCTGTATGTCCTGTTCAGTAGCTGGGTTTTGGTTCCTGATGAAAGCTCCTCAGTAGTGCAATACCTAAAGTGCCCAGGGTTCTTTTGGGTTGGAAGTACCCATTTAGCCAGGGGACTTGAAAGGTGATAACACTGAAAAGGTCTAACAGTGGAAATGTATTATTTCTTGTCATTGTGTTCCGTCCTCCCCATATGGCTGGTTTGTGGTTTTCTGTGATGCTTTATGTAAAAGATTGGCGTTTCCTTTCGTGTGTCGCATTTTCCTTCACCCTTTATGTTCTTGTGCCATCCACCTTCTCAGATACATTAATGTGATAGTTCAGGGCAGATGGGCACAGAATCTTTCCACTGGTACTGATATATTCATCTTTGAATCTCATCTCCTTATCTGAACCTGGCAGCAAGCACAGAGCGACCTGTGCGTTACTTGTTGGATTGCTTTGGGAAATGTCGATGGTTCATATTGCAGCACGAGTGTTATCTGTCACGTCTTAAAGAAAGTGACATAACATGATCATTTTTGTTCTGCATTGAGTGCTTTTACATGGGCAAATGGGGAAGATGATTGTGTGGAGGGGCTGAATTGCTGAGATTAAGGTTATGTATTGAGAGGAACACTATGGTTTGGACAAAACATAATTATGGAAGGCTATGAACATTAAAATAGCTGGAGGGACAGAAATGTCTTAATTTATTTTCATAGAATCATTTAGGTTGGAAAAGACCTTTAAGACAGAAATCTCAGTGCATGTCTTGTAGTGTGGGACCCAGAACTGAGCACAGGATTTGAGGTGTGGCCTCACCAGTGCCCAGTGCATGGGGCTGATCACTGCCCTGGCTGTGATGATACAGGCCAGGATGCTGTTGCTTCTTGGCTGCCTGGGCACAGGCTGCTTGTGTTCAGCTCTGTCAGTCAGCACCCCCAGGTCGTTTTCCATGAGCAGCTTTCCAGCCACTCTTCCCCAAGCCTGCATGGGGTTGCTGTGGCCCGAGTGCAGGACCCAGCACTTTGCCTTGTTGAACCTCATAGAACTGACCTCAATCCATTCATCCAGTCTGTCCAGATTCCTCTGCAGAGCTTCCTGTCCTACAGCAGATCAACATTGCCACCCAGCTTGGTGTCACCTGCAGACTTACTGAGCATGCCATCGATCCCCACGTCCAGAGCATTGCTAAAGATATTAAACAGAACTGGATCAGCACTGAGCCCTGGGGAGCACCATTTGTGACCAGCCACCAGTAGGATTTAACTCCAGTCACCACCATTCTTTGGACTCTGCCACCCAACCAGTGTTTTATCCAGCAGAGAATACACCCATCCATGTCATGAGCAGCCAGTTTCTGCAGGAGAATGCTGTAGGAAGCTGTGTCAAAGGCTTTTTAAAGTCTAGCTGGACAACATTTTGGTCTGGGCAGCTGTGTTGCAGGAAGATGGTAGGTCTGATACTGTTACCTGGATTTGGGGAAGTGTTCTAACTGTATTTAGAAGGCTGTTTACAGTCTGTATACAGCTCAAGTCCAGGTCCATTAAAGCTAGTAGCTAATGTATATTTATAAAATAGTGATGTTGGCAGTGTGCGCAGCACACTGGAGTTAATGTAGCCTTGTGCTGATAGAGAGGGGTCAGAATAAGAAATAAGATCCTGCTTTTACCGACATAAATTATTAAGCTGTCTTGGCATGTCATCCATCGCTGCGTGGCAAACACATTCTGCTTTGGCTCATCCCAGAGGCTGCTGGCCTGGAAAGCAGCGTGCTGAGCTGCTGTGGCAACCAGCTCTGAAACACATCTCCTGTCTTTAAAGACTTCCAGTGCAGAACTGCTGTCATCCCAGCTTTCATCTGCCAGGAGGGATGGTCCCTCTCACTGTGACCAGGTGGAAAGCAGCCACTGCTGATCTGTCAGCCCATTTTTTGCTTCTGCTTGTAAACGTGAAGGGGAGAGGTGTCTCCAGAAGGGTGCTCGTGCTCCCTGTCTTTATCTCATGTTTCCTTATCAGTAGTGATATAGTGGGAAATGCCAAACACGCATCGTGTGGCTGCTCGGTTCTCCTGCCATGTCAGCTTTGAGCAAGAACAAACAAGAAACAGTGGATGAACGCTGTGCTAGTCGACTCCAAACTGGTTGAAGTAATGCGATCTTGGAGGCCTGTCTGAAATATTACCTATAGTAATGAAGATCCAAACACAGGGAGAAGCAGCCAATAATGCCAGTGTTAGTTGACAGTGTGTTAAAGCACACTGCTGAGAGGATGCTTAAGAAATATCATACCGATATTGCTTTGAGAAATGTTTGATCCTGGTGCTTTTTATGTCAGCAACTACTTTGAGACGAAGAAGTACTCTGGCAGTGCTGGGTTGCTGGCAGGTAGGCAGGAGTAATCCTTCTTCTGTATATCTTTCCAGTAATCAGCTGGTGATTGCATCAGGATTGTTAAGTCCTTTGATGGATATATAAAAGCTATACTCTGAAAATGTCTAATTGCTCTTTGAACCCATTTCCGCTCTGGATATCGCAATATCTTTGGCTCTGACTTAATGTGGTTGTTTCTTTTCTGCTTTTAAGTCCACTGCTCAGTAATTTCATCAAATCCTCTCTTTCTCGTGTGCACTGAGAGGTAACAAATGTTTGCTGTCTGCTTCTCCATATCATTCATGATTTATGGAAAGGTTTTATCCTGTTTTTCCTTTTTCAGCTAAAAATCTGAGCCATTTTCTGAATGGCTGCTGTACACTTGTTATCTCTGTCCCCTTTCCATCAGCCTTTCTGTGTTTACTATCCCTGTTTAGATAGTGACACCAAAATAGCATAACTTTGTAGTGCTGTAATACTAACTTATGTTTTGCTCTTAAAAATGCCTTTCTTGCCTTTTTGACTGCTGCAGAGCATGGGATATGATTCTGAAGGTATTGGCTCACGTGAAGCCTGAGGGGTATTGTTTGATAACAAACTAGATCCTGTCGTGTGCGTATACTCAAGGTTGTTTTTTTCTCGCATGCAGTGCTTTGCATGGGATGAGACTGTGTTGCAGGCTTAAAACTCATCTTCAGGGACTTCCTGTCTGCAGGGTGAGTTTCACTGGAGAAACACAGAGTTCCTGCTTTGTTTGGGGTTTTGATTATTATTTGGAGAAAAGAACAACAACTTCCTCTCTTCAGTGCAGCTGGGATTCCTAAAGCTCTGGCACTGTCTGGACCTCCTCTGCTCCCATAGAATCATCAGACACATTCTTTAAGGAGAGAAACCTGCCAAGCCCTTTCTCTGCGGAATGACAGAGAATCTTCCTGCTTTCTCACTTGCAGATTTGGAGGGGCAAGTGTGCAGAATCAACCCATCGGAGCCAAGGTGCTCGTGCTGTGTGTGTGCTTTGGCTCAGCAGGTCTTGTTGCTGTTCAGGATCAGCACGTGTTGCTCCTATAGGAATGTTTGTTCTGATAACCCTTGCTGTGATTCCTGCTCAGGATGGTAGCTCACCAGGCAGGGCTCAGTTTGTAGCTAACTAGAGCTGTTGAAAGAAGCAGATACCACTCAGTTGTTTGACTTCTTTAATGTGGGGGTTTACATTTCATCTTCCTGCAGAAGTTTCATTTCTGATACCTTTTTATGCCATAATCTAAAGCCTCCTGTAGATATTTTTATGTCCTCCAGCTTGTGATATCAGGATATGCCCAAGTAAAGGGAATGATGATCAGCCGTGAACATTTGCTTGTGTAAATGCATGTGACACAAATACCCTGTGTTCTCTGTGCACTTTGCACGCATGCATTTAATCAAGCACCCGCACGACCAGCAGCAGTGCCACAAATAGATGCTTCAATAGGAAGTGGTGATGGTGAAGCTAGATCTTGTGGTAGGATGTGGTTAGTGCTGTTGATTCATATTTTCACATTATATGCAGGTTAAGCTAATGTGGTAAAGCTTGGATATTTCCACAGAAAGAGAGCTGGGTGAAGTGTTGAATTGGAGCAGAAGTAGACGCTGAATGAAGGCTAAAAAAGTCCAGCGTGTTTCTGAGCTATGTGTAATGTTTCACCTATTTAGTTCTTGGGTGCCCCAAAATGAGGTAGGTGGGGATTTTATTTTTGCCTCTTGAGCTACAAATGATGTCCAGAGAAGGCTGCCCTTAAAAAAGGGAGAATTTAAACCAACCCCCAAGCTGTATATTAAACAGATCGTCCTTTTGCATTTTGTAAGAGGCTTTGTCTCTATTCTCACTGGTTGGAGGAATTGCTTTACATTCCCATGTTTGTAAAAGGAAGGAAAATGAATTGTTATAAAAAGATGTGTGTGGGAACCTGCTTGCTGGGTCTGACTGGACTGCAGGCAATCAGCTCTCCTGCACATCCCCTTTCCCTGGGAATAGGTCTCTGAGCACCCTAGAGTGTGAGTGTGGGTAGGAGCAGCACAGCAATCACGCTCCCGGGCCCCGGGATCAGCACTGACCTTTCTCTCTGAGCTTGCTTTGCCTTCTTCACGGGGGATTTCCAGTCATTTTGGAGCTGGGTTAGTGCAGCTCTGCCTTGAAGTGCTAATCCAGTGAGTATGTTTGGGATGGTGTTACTGAGTTCATCTCCCAGGGCATAGCACAAGTGCTGCCTTCTGTTGGTGCACAGCTATTTATTTGCCTCCTCCCCTAGAAGAAGTGGCTTCACAATGTGATTTCTGTTTGATTGCTATTAGTCACAGTAATATGAAGTATTACTAATGCTATCTCTGTTCTATTTTAAATGGACAGTTGATACGTTTGGGGAACTATTGTGTTAAGATTGTCTGAGGGAAGGATTTGGTTCTCTGCCTGAAGGCAGTATCTGGGAGTGATAGTTTCTGGTTCTCTTCAGTTTCAAGTGTGGGTTGTGTGCCAGTGAAGTCCAAGTGGTTTGATTTATTGGGTATATTATTATACATATTGAATTTGGTAGTGCTGATGCTATTTAAAGTGAAAGACTACCTCCTGAAGTATTCTTCCACCATCTGCACAAGAAATAGAACTCCTCTGAGAAGATAAATAATCTGGTTTGGTTTCTATGTGACAAAATTATGGCTTACAGTCTTGAAGTGCTAAGCCTTTATATACCAGGGATTAACAGTGAAGGATCTGGAGCATGGTGATTTCTCAGTGATGAGCCATCTTCAGCTGGTAACACTAGAACTGGGACTCTTGGAAAGCATTCCTAAGGCTTTTGGGGTAGCTTTGATTGTCTGGTGGTTTGTCTCATGAATTCCCTCATCATTTGAGACTTAATTTAAGAATTAATTTTGTTGAGTTTGTGATTTGTGTGAAACCATAAGGGGCTTGATTCTCTATCGCCAGGTAACTGATACTGTCACATCCATTTTGCATTACCATAATACATTGCTGTTTTGCTTTGGGAACACTTGGAACCCACCTGATGCAAGGCAAACCTGCCTTATCATGCAAGAAAAAAACCCCATTTCAGTGTCTTCTAATGCTTTCCAGGTTAAACCAAACCAGATCCTCTCTTTCGAGTGAAACCCCAGTGTTCTTGGGGGTTTTGTCCTCCAAGTCTCCCTGATTTCACTGGTGTTGCAAATTAAACCTCCTGGTGCTGATGTTGCTGGTGCCCAAACTTAACGCAGAGCCTGGAATTCAGGAGGGATCTGCATGCTGTACCTGATGAAACCACAGTTATGCTGCAAGAACATCAGCAGCGTGAACTTTGAAGCAGTGCAGTAACTTTTTTAATCAGCTCCAGTATTTGGAGGTTGAGGTTAAAGTCCATTTTGCCAAGTGTTGTTTAAAATGTGGGTGCGTGGGCTGGGGAGACTCAGGCTCTTGCAGTGGAATTGATCTAGGAATGAATCCAGTGCTCAGCCTTGCAAAGGCATCCTGTTTCCTTCTGGGAGGAGGGAGGAAGGGTAAATGTATGTGGGGGCTGAGCCTTTTGTGTTCGGTGATGGGATGGAGAGGATCTGAGAACCGGTATAGAAAGTACCATCTCTCTTACGGTGCTCAGTGGGTTCATTCTGCATTTTGTAGCAACTACTGGCTTTTCTCTCTGGTAGAGAGTTCTCATTCTCCTGATGGGAATTGCTGATCTTTTAGCAAAATTATGTGTGATAATTTTTTGTTTCCTTGGAATTTATGCTGACATCTTCTCTCCAAATATTGTTGTATGTGTCCTTTTCCATGGAACATAGGCAAGAGAAGCTTAGATCATAGCTGCTCTTTACTGCTGCTTGCCTACTTCTGTGCCTGTGATAGCTCAGGGTAAAGGTTTTGAGGTACCTTATGACCTCTTGTGAGGTCCTGTTGTGGCTCCCCAGTTCTCTCTGGGGGGTAACTACACTCCTAGCTATAGGGGTGGTGGAAGCCTAAAGTCATTTCAATGTGATACCTGTGGGTTACTTGTTAAAAAGCAGTGAGTTTTCTCCCTGTATCTCCTGCTATGTTTAGCTCTTTATTTCCTCCCCATTTTGCTAATGCTAGTGTTCATGCAGACACACGGTGAGACAGATTAGGGAGCTGATCCAGCTGAAAACTAACCCATTTTAGAAAGGGAGTGGGAAAGGATTTCTTTGGGGAGTGTTTGCCGGTAGTTACTGGCATCAGAAGCCAACATCAATGAGGGAGAGGGAAAGATGCTGCCTCTTTACCTTGAATTCAAGTGACTCTGGACCCACACCCATGCTCATTGTTGTAAACTGGCTGGCAGGAATCTCTGCTGAGTGGTGCCAAGCTCCTCTCATTCCTGCTTTTGAAGCCACATGCAAGCACTGCTGTCCTTGCCTGGGCTCCTCTCGGGCTGGAGCAGCAGTAGGCAGTCTGCAGAACACAGACTTCCTGCAGTGCTGAGCTTGCCCCTCTGCTCTCACTGATTAAGGACACAAAGCCACCCATGCTCTGGTGGCAGGCAAGTACCTGTGAAGTTCACACTGATTTGTTTCTCTTGTTTGTTTCCCTAGGTGATTTCTCTGGTCAGCTTTTAGCTTATTTGAGTCTTGGTCCAATATTCATTATTGTTGGCTTTGTAACGCTCATCATATTCAAGAGAGAGCTTCACACGGTGAGTCCTTCTCTCCCTTCCCAGCTTCTCCTTGTGGCAAAAGCTTTTTCCTTTGTCACCTGGTGTTCCTGTATTCACACTTCTTTTCCTCTCTGTAAAGAGCAAGCTTAGGTAGGGTGATCTTCCTGCCAAAGAACAGCAGGAGACGCTTATCACTTGTACCAGCTCAAAAGACTGCTTAGCCTTTGCTAACTTGTGCTCCTGTGTGGTATGTTTTGGGTATTATTTGTCCAAAACCATCAAGGGAAATGTCCAAGGAGCTAGAGTGCTGTTGCAGAGTGAGAACACTCCCAGGATCCAGTAGGATCGTAGATGGCAGTGGTAGGTTCCTGCAAGATGGGCAGCATATGCAGGAGATGATGTCTGTAACTCAGTAGGATGTGCTTTATTTCAACTACTGAGGCAGAAAAGGGAATACCAGATAAAACTTAGATTCCCAAGGGAATTGATCTGTCTGTGAGGGCAGCTGTCCCTGGTGTTTGATTCAGAGCTGAGAAGAAGAGGTTTGCTCCTGCCCAAATGACCAACGACAGACTCTTGTCATACATAAGACATGATGCTTTCTGCCTGCTCTGACAGGTAGCTGGGAATCGGCAGCATTCCCTTGAGGAGGTATAAACCTCTTGTGAAATTTGCCCTCAGTAAACAGATAAATAGGGGCCAGTGAAAGGGTTTTGGCAGCAGATTTCTAATATAGGGCCACAGTGTCATGGGAACCAGTGGCTCAAGGGACCTGGAATGGGACAAGGAGGTTAAGCTGATTCTAGCTAGGAGAGGCAGCTGTTAAGTTTTGGCAGCTCAGAGGTTTCTTGTTGACCCAAAAGAGAGACTAAGCTAGAGCAACTATTGCACAAACCCATGGGGGTTTGAATACAGGGGCTTGTGAGGTGTTGGTAGGGAGACGAGCATTGAGGTTGGTTTCCAGTTCTGCATGTGGGAAATCACCATTGAGCTGGAGAGGGATGTGAGCTGGCCTCCAGCAGCCTGCGCCGTAGCTCAGGACACAGAGTGAGAAGCTGCTTCATCATCTGGAATGGGACCGAGTGTTAAGGAGGCAGAGTATCAGCAGCAGCTGGGAATTTGATCACAGCAGCAGGACTGACTCAGGGGAGGTGTGTGGAGTGTGGAATTAAAGAGTAAAAATAACTGCTGCCAGTCTGACGGAGTTCAGAATGGGACTGCATTGTAGGCTGAAGACAGCAACTTCCAGATGAAAATACTCGGAGAGGGAAAAGCCAGAAAGCCTGAAAGTCACCTTTTTGAGGCTATTTATCCAAATAACAGTGCGTGCACTCCCCCTGTTGGTTGATTGGGAAAGGCAGTCCCTTAAAACCTGCCCTGGTTTGCTTGCTGGTGAAAGGATGCTCACAAAATTGTTACCCAGCCTCATAACAATCTCGTTCTGTGTATCATCTGAAAAGCTGCGTATACACAATGATAACAGTCTCTGTGTATCATCTGAACAGCTGCATATACACAGTGTGTTGCCAAATATACAGAGTGGGCTGAAAAAGAAATGCTTTTTTTTACCTCAGGTAGAGAACTTTGAAGCCATTGGTTTTAACTCTAGCAGTCAAAAAAGAAACATATGGTTTGGGCTTTTCTCAACAGAGAGAGCCTGGTAAGTGGGTGGATCTTCTAGATAGGATGACACGGTTGTCTTGCCTTCACAGATCTCTTTCTTGGGAGGGCTGGCATTCAACGAGGGAGTGAACTGGTTAATAAAACATGTAATCCGGGAGCCTCGGCCCTGCGAAGGTATGCAATGACCCAGTGGTGTCCTGGTGTTGAGTTTTGGAATGCTAACTGGGGGGGGCGGTTAGAGGGTGTTTTCCATTTGCCTCATGTTGGCTTTGGATGTTTGGGTGCAAGAGGGCTGGCAGAGCCATCTGAGCAGAGCCGTGTCCTGTGAGCTCATGTGTGCATACTGCAGCAGGATGGGCTGGCTTCGCATCTGGAGCGTTCCAGCTGCTATGGACAGAGTAGACCTTGACCATACTCTTTCTTCTTCTCTTCCCAGAAGCCCATTCAACAGTGACCACAAAATATGGGATGCCGTCCAGCCACTCCCAATTCATGTGGTTTTTCTCTGTCTATTCCTTTCTGTTCCTTTATTTAAGGTAAAAATTCAGTGTCAGGTTTTGGCTGTTACTATGTTGAGACACCTGAACTAGATGGCTCCCTTGCTGTGTGCTACTTCAGTGGCATATGGGATGAAATCTAAGGAACCGCACAATTTACTGTGGCTAGGGTGGATGAAGCATGTCCATCTCATCTGAAGTTAGGATTGAAGGGTATGGGTGGGCTTCCCATGCCTGTCTGGGTACAGGTCTCCTGATCTGCCTTTTCTAAGCTGTGATGATCCACCAGTGTGAGGGAAGAGGGGGGGAATAGGGAGGAGGAAAGAAGAGCTGCTTTCTCATGTGTCTACTCAGTTTTGTCAGTGGGGTTATCTGCACTCTTTTAGGTAGTATCTGTTGCCCACTTGCATGACCTTTTAGTTCATCTCGTTTCCCAAATACCAGTTGTACACACTCTGCTGTGCTGCTCTGAAATTCCTGCTGGGGCATGGCTCTGTCTTGTGGCTACAATGTGGAGGAAGACAAAACTCACAGTTCCTCCTAGCTTTGTGGATGATGGAGGGACTCTGACGTCTTGGCTCCCTGTTGCATATGCTCAGCATGTGCCTTTCCCATCAGCTGCAGTACTTGTGAGCGTTCTGCCTTCCATCACAGTGATCCCTGTTAACAGCTGGAGAGGGAGAAGTGTGGCTTTCTGGCTTCTCTGTGGCTGCTGCCAGTGGGACAGATTGCTGCTGGGATGGTGTCGAGCTGCCCATGACCCCACCGGAGTAGAGCTTTCCTAGGGTTTCAGAGGTAGTGAGGAGCTAAGGGGTGCTGAGCTCCCTGCCACTGTGCTAATGGCTCTCCATTTCTTTCAGAATGCACCAAACAAACAATGCGAGGTTTCTGGATTTACTATGGCGACATGTGCTGTCCATCTGCCTCGTCACAGTGGCTTTGCTAGTCTCATATAGTAGGTATGGAGCAACTGTTTGTCTTATGCTCTCATACAGTCCTGTGGCCTTTAACAGCCAGCAGCCCTGTCATCCCTTGTCCTGCCTTTCTGATGTGATTCTTGACTGCATTGTACAAGTCAGAGCTTTGTGAAGGTCCTGTGTTGCTGTGAGACCCTTCGAATGAGCAAAGGTGCTACATGTGTGGTGCTTCAGAAGCATTTATAAAAGCCCAAATCGGCTGAGCTTGTACCAAGTCTTTATGGGCTCCATTGCCATGCTGCAGCCTCACTGCCTTGCCCTCTTGCCAGCACTAATCATGAGAGCATTGCACCATGCCTTGGCACACCAGCATCTGCAGCATGTGCATTGCTACAGTTGATCAGTGGGATTGTTTTGCTTGAGTGGTAGTTAATGAAAATGTGTGTAGCTGTTTGACTTGCAGGGTTTAGTTGTATGAAGAAGAATACAGAAAATGAACATTTGATACTTATTTTTCCCTGTAGTAGATTAAAAATGTATATATACACACATATATATATAAGATGAGCTCCAGTGACTAGAGACCAGGCACGTTCAGGCCACGTTTTCCACAGAAAAGTAATTACTTTTTGGTGTTCTTGACTCTACATTAGAGCTGATTCCTTATTCCTGGTTATCTTTAAAGTTCTGACATGACAATTTCATAAGAGATATATGGTCTAATTCAAATAAAAATTAATCAGAGGAAATACAGTGGCCTGTGCTAGGCAGAGGGTCAGAGAAGATGAGCTTAATGGCTTTGATATATGGGTGAAAAGAGTTCTGAATGTGACTCATGTCCATGCACAGAGGCTGCTATTAATACAGGTTTCTGTTTGGCTGCAGCCTTTGTGCTGTCACATTGAAAGCAGCAAAATCATAACAAAAATGCTGTGTTCTGAAGAATACCTTTAAGGTGCAACTTTGATGGCCTGGACGGGACTTGTCCTGTTGCTGGCTTTGAAGAAGTCTCTTCTAGGAGCCAGTGGTAATAGTTCTGCAACTAATCCAGAGACGCATGAAGAAGAATGTGGAGGGTTAGTGAGTTAAGCGCAAACTAAAGCCCTCTGAGCTGAAACTGCTGTAACAGAGCAGTTTTTCCCATTGTTTTTCCAACTTTTTCTGCCAGCTTTTTAATGAGAAAAAGAAGCTCTCCACTTTTAACATCAGGAGCATAACTTGGTCTGAGGGTCTAGTGAAACATCAGCCCTTGAGTCATGCCTCCTCTTGTTTTAAAGCTTGTCTGGTGACTCTTCTCTTCCACTGCAGGGTTTATTTGCTTTACCACACCTGGAGCCAAGTCTTGTATGGAGGTGTGGCAGGAAGCATTATGGCTGTAGCCTGGTTTGCCTTCACACAAGAGATATTAACTCCTCTCTTCCCAAGGATAGCTGCATGGTAAGTCTATTCTGTGGAGGTTCTATTCCTGCAAGGCTGTATTCTGTGCACTGCTGGTTTGCTCATTGAATGAGTCTCTTGCAATGAGTTGTAACACAGGTGTTAGGAGAATTACCTGGCAAAAGAGATGTTTCCTAATCAACCAGTGTCAAAGATGTACCTTGCATGTAATGCAGAACAAACATAAAGATACTTCAGGCTCCAAACCTTTAGTTGCAGCTGTGCAAGCCCTGACTGGAAATGGGCTGCTCAGACTTCTATGAACCACCTAAGATGTTATAAGAGAGAATTCCTGGGTTCTGTTCCAGTTTTCCATACTGAGTGTTGTGTAACCTACTTGTTCCTCCATGTTTTCTTGTGCATGCATATACAAACGATCCTGTATCTGTACCTGATACGGGTGGAGGAGAGGAAGTTCAAGCAACTGTTCCATGTGTAAAGCCCTACTCAAGTGCTGAGGTGTGGCAGAGAGCTGGAGAAGCCTTTCAAGCAGAACAGACATTTCTTAATGAATGTCTACTGACCTCATAAAATTGCAAAAGCCATTTAAATGTGATGTAGTCTGGAAACACTGTGTAAGGAATTAAAGAGGAGAGGAGCTTTGTGATTAAATTGAACAAGGAGCCCTCTTCCCAGCCTAAAGAGTAATGGAATAGTGGTGTTAAGTCTGGAGCAGGTTATTTTTCCCCTTTGTTTCTTGTTAAATCAAAATAGTGATGGAGAAAAAGACTCATTATTTCTCTGTTTCCCCCCACCTTGTCCATTTTCAGGCCAATTTCAGAGTTCTTTTTAATCCGAGATACCAGCCTCATTCCGAACATCCTGTGGTTTGAATACACAGTCACGAGAGCAGAAGCAAGGTAAGTTTTACTGGGGGTTGGAGGAGCTGTAGCTGGTTTGACTTGTCAGCTGGAGTTAGTAATTTATTCTCCTATATGTAGATGACTGCTGTGGGTAGAATAGTGCAGAGTAAAGGACTAGCGAGTTGTGGGTAAGCTACTGCACCTGGAAGGGGAGTCTGTTGGGGTGTGCGAGACGAAACAATGCTTCATTTCAGTAGTATTTCGGCTTCCTAGCTTGTGGTTTTTGGAAGCAATTGTTTATAACCATGCACCCACATGTGAGCTTGTGAACACTTAAGACCTGGTGAATGTTCTAGGTCCGTAAAGAACAGGAAGGACTCAACTCCTTGTGGAGATTGGGCAGCTTTATTTTTGTGTGAGGTTAAGCAGAGCCTTACTTTAATCCTCCCACCTTTTGCCCACTGCCCCGGCACCCAGCAATGGGGCTGGGGCCACCTCTCACCCTTCCCTCTGTGTTGCTGTTGCAGAAACAGACAGCGCAAGCTGGGTACGAAGCTGCAGTGACTCGAAGTGTGGGGACCAGAGAGCGCGTTTTAACGGAGACAGACAGAAGCAGAGACCTGGGAGCAGCAAGGAGCCTTTTAACAGACGGACCAAAGGAACAGGCAGGGACCATACCCGAAACCTGAAAGCCTTTGCTCTGCTTTAGCAGCTAGCTGGATGCTCCCTGATGCATGTGGGACCGTGCAGGAGTAGAAACTCATTTTCAACACAGATGCACATTGCCGGTTGGAATGTAACATCACGTCTACGTCAGGGGCAAAGGGGGGAGAAAATGCCTGGTGTCATGTTTGGGGGAGGGAAAACCAAAAAATGAATCCTTTCTGTGACTTTTTTTTTTTTTTTAGCTTTTTCCTTTTTTTTTTTTTTTTTTCAGCATGAAATATACACACTATTTATTTATTTTTTTAAATGGAACTTTTGTTTCTGGGGTGGGTGAGGCCTTGACTGCGTGTTCTGGTTTTGCCTTTTTCAGCTGGGTTTTTCTTTTCGGAAGAAGAGGACAAAACTTAATCTCAAGCTGATCATGCTTCATTAGGGCTTTAATTTCTCTAAGCTCCTTAGGAGGGAGGGATACAAGGATGCGGTGACCGAGGCAAAAGGGAGAGGCAGACTTTGTCCTTTCTGCAACCAGCTGGGGAGATCAAAATCCATTCCAACTGCACTTTGTACAGATAGGAAGAAAGCGTAAAGGTCTGATTTTTAACACTAGTGATGGTTCTGCAGGGAAGCCTGCACGGATACCATGAAGGGGAGTGTGTGTGTGTGTGTGTGTGTGTAAAACAAAGGATAAACTGAAATATACTGACTATTATTTTTTTTCCACTGCTGCTCCTGGTGTGTAATTAGCAAGAGTGTCTTTCTCAGAATCTCTTCTAGGTGGCAAGATTATTACACGTATCTCATGTTTATTCCATCTCTTTCTTTATCCTTTTATTACCTCAGGGTTGCTGTGATCTGTACAGCTTCTGTTGTACTGAGCGTGCTGCCAATGGCACTAGGAAGCCCATTGGTGAGAAGCAGTGCTGTGCTCCAGTGAGAGTCAGCCCAAAGCCTTACAAAATTCAGTTGCTTGTCTCTGTCTTGAGCACTGGATTTTTCCTTTTACTGTTAAAGCTTAAGGGAGGGAGTTCTAAGCATGAACAAAGTGACAACTATAAATGAATATCAAGGCAGGTGACTAATCACTAGCTCAGCTGCTGGCTGAAGTATTCCTTTGAGTCCTGTTAGCATCCACCCATGAGCTTGTCCTAGCAGAGACTCCTGCCACTTACTACATTGGCTTGGTTGGGGTTCTGGAGCAGTAACCTTGAATACTGAACTCCTACAAGCAAGTTTTGCTTTCCATCCTTCTTCTGTTGGGATTCTGTGTCTGGCCAGTTTGCTCTCGGGATGCTGTTTCTCTGTGGGAATGTGTCTGCCATCTGTGTGTGCTGGTGATGCCTACAACCTCTGTGAACCATGAGTTAACCTGGCAAGGGCTATACTCACAGTGCTTCAGGGCTGTGCATGGACACTTCCTGTATTTCTAGTATATAATGCAGCAGTTCAAGTGTAACTACAGAGAAGTATTTATTCAAAGCACAACTGACTTGAACTTTCACAGATAAAGGACAGCTTCTGAACTGGCTCAATGGTCATCGGTGTGCCTTCGATGCAGTCATGTGAGCAGAGGTAAACTGTCACATCTTGGTCTTGCTGCCTGTTTTACTATCTCCACTTTAATCAGACTCCTGCATTATAAAGCTGCTTCAAGTGAGATGTGTTTCTGTTCATCTTGATTATTTTTAAGTTTTCATCTGTGCCTGTTGCCATAGGAGTTTGTGTGTTCGTGTGGAGTGGGAGCTGCTGGAGAAACTGTTGGACAAGCAGAGTGTTAGCTGTGGAAAGATCTAGGAGATAGGAATGAAGGCTGTTTAAATCGCTGTTTCAGTAGCTATGGGTAGGAAACTGTTTTCAGTTGTTACAGCTAATTATTATTTAAGGTTCTGTTTAGTATTTGCACAACATGAGCAATCCTGTTCACATCTGAAGGACCTGAGCGCTGGATCTGCTTGAAGGTGCATCAGAATAAAGATGCGTCTTGCAGCTTTCACGATGACATTGGATCTGACTTAGAGCAGCTCTGTTGAAATGTGACAGGCCATCAGATTGGAAAGCTGGCACTAATCACTTATGTCTTGCAAACCCATTTATTTGCTCTTCCTATCTTTTGGAAGTCAACTCACAAAACCAGAAAGGAGATGACAACAACTGTTCCCTAAGGACAAGGCTGGGAAAGTGGATTGTTTCAGGAGTGGCTGGTGCTTCCCTAGCTCCTCTTAAGCTGTTAACAGACTGCTGTGGAAGCTCCTATTGAGAACTAAGAGTGTAGGGAAGAGGTTCCATCTCTTCATGGAGAGTGGTGTAGTGTACAAAGCTGTTCCATTTCATGTTCCCTTCCAACCCAAGCTTCCCACAGTTAGGAGTAAGGGAGAGGAAGAAGAGCTCTTGTAAGACACTGTAATAAACTCTCCTCTGTTCTCTGTGAGTTGTTTGTAATCTGCATCTTCTGCCTACTTTTGCTGTACCTTTCCAGAAACCTTTGCAATACTTGATACAGTAGAAATTCCTTAGTGGTTCCATGGATTTTCTTAACTAAATGGTGCTGTGCAGGAAAAAAAAAGATTTGAGCTCTGCCTTATTATCCTACACCTGTATGAAGTCTCCTGCCACTAGTTTTCTGAAATGGAACATTTTCTTTGGAATATGTGGCTTTGCAAGCAGATGCTTTCTGTTCCTCCCCTGTACTCAAGGGGGCTGGATGGAGATATTAAGACAATAAAAGGAAGGTGACAGAATGCTGTGGTTCACTGTTCTTGCTGTCCCTGCACCAACATCCTCCCATAAGGCTGGTTATGCAACTTCTGCAGTGTCTAAGGAGATTTAAGCCTTTTTTGTAGCATTTTATCTGTTTATTGTGTTTTCAGTTTATTCAAAGAACAGTTTGAAACTTTGCATGACATGGATTTACAACAACCAAAACAGTATTTAACACAGCTAACAGCAAAGCATGCAACACTACCAGGCTGTGGCATAAATTGCACTCATACCCCAAGAGTTATCTATTTTCAGCTTATTTGTTCCAAATCAGTTATTTTCCTGCAACTTACGGTTTTCTTTTGTACTTAATGTGCTGTTAAGACAATGGGCATCTCTTGATAAAACCATCAGAAACAGGGAGAACGGTATTCAATAAGTCAACATTGAAAAACATCAAGAAGGTATGAATCAGAACATTGCATTTTAGAACTTGTACAAGAAAAGACTTTATAAAGGAAAAAACCTTGCAATGGTTTTAGTGTCCTTTCAAGCACTTAAAAAATCAGCTTCATTCATCTGAATTTCAGCTCTGTGTATCATTAAGGATGCACTGAGTGGTTCATGAATCTTGTATCTCTTCTGGTGTGATAGTCTGCTTCTTGCAGCTGTGCTCTGCAGAAGCTAGTGGGATGTGGGATATCCAGATTTAGATCCAGAAAAGGTCAATCCCATCTTCTGAGATACAGTCACAGCAGCACATACTTCTCCTTAATCTTTATAGGCACTTTCCTTGAGAGCCTTCCCCTTTTAGACAGAAGCTGCAAAGGGCCAGTCTCAAATATTTAAAGTGATAAATACTGTAGCATCAGTGGTTGAAGACATTGCAGACAGGGAAAAATAACTCCTCCCTTAGCAACAGGGGTTGATTTAGTATGGGGGGAGGATCACTTTGGCAAAGATGAGTATTCTTTCAATGTAAAAGGCTCCATAAATCCAGATGTTATCCCATCAAGGTCTGGTCTTTTATGTAGTATTTACACACTTCTGTTTTGATAATACTGAGTATCCTCTTGCAGTTTTCAGTACGGTTCATACAGTGAAGCCAACAGAGCAGAGGTTTGCTTGCAGGTCTGCAGTGCTCCTATTGGGTTGATTTTAGACTATCTCACTCCGTTCAGGATTCTTCTAAAGATCAACTAAATCCATGTAGATGATGTGAAAGTGGCAGTTCATACAATCACTGGCTGTGCAGGTGAGTTTCAGTTAAATTTTCCTTTTTTAAGGTTTAAGTATAAGATAGAAGCTTTGAAATAACATCCTTTTAGGAAAAGAAAAATGCAGTTGTTGGTTTGTGTCTTTCAAGAAGGAAATTAGAATGAGTTTTCTTACTTTAAACATGTTTAGTGCAAATTTCTTCACGTGTGTTCCCCAAGGCACTTTGATCATCTCCCTTGTTGTTCTATGATCAGGAAAGCAGTATGATCAAACACTTCCCTGTTACCAAAACAGGCCATCTGACTGCTAATGCTTCTAGTTTAGGGTGGTGTCCCAGCAGCCACTTGCTGAAGGGTGTGCAATTGAAATGTAAAATTCCTGTTGCAGAAATAGCACTAGAATTCCTCGTTGCCATATGGTTTTGCTAAATAAAAGTAGTGAGGGGCTTGGATTCTGGTAGATTCATTGGAAACAGCGCTTACAAAAACTCCTGTGCTGCAACTGTATGTTTCTAGAGAATATAGTCTCAAGTTTGTCAGCTGAACATGGAAGTGCCATGATGAGTTCTGTCACAGAACAGAGCTGGCACAAATGCGAGGTGCAGTAAGGACGAACTCCAAGAGTGGTGTACTGTTACTGCAGGAACAGTGGCTGCCACAGTGCACAAACATCTACAGTGACCACAGGTTCTCAGCTTTCTTCCTGCTTTCTAAGACTTTCCTGCCTTGTTAAAGCAGAGGGGTGTGAAAGAAGGGGGATTCTGCACCTGGTTTTCCTTTGGCTCTAACAGGTTTGAACTCTGTGGCCAGAAATGGAAGTTATGTTCTGGAGGTCCTGATCAGAAACACTTTTATTTGTCCACAACCAAGATATAACTCATTATGCACAAATAGGTTGTTTCTGAAAGCAGGGTATAAAACCACATCATGTTAATGTGTGTGCCCTGAAGGAGGCAAGGCCTGGGGCCTCTGGCTACTGAAGGGCAGAATCTTTTCCTCCATTCCAAAGGAAGGTACAATGAAGCAAGTGGCCTGCTAAATGCATAGCAGTCTCTTCTCATCTCTGCATATATTAAGAAACATAAAGCCAAAGCTAGCAAAACATGTGGGAGAGAGGTCTTCTAGAAGCTCTGTGGGGATAAAGCTTTACACTGAGCCTGAAGATCTGTGGCCAGGACCACAAAGCAAGCTTAACAGATAGCCCAGAACAGCAACAACAACAGCAAAGCCCCACCTGAGTTTGTAGCAAACGGTATCTGTTGTAAATAGGGTCAGTGCAACAGAAAGGACATCCCAGCATCCTGAAACTGAGGGGAAGGGGACATTCCCAAGCTTGTAAAACATGTAATGGTTGGAGTGCCTAGGATAAGTAGTGCAGTGCACTCTAATGGGGCTGGATCTGCTCTGACATTAAGAGCTTCTTTCTCCCCTTGCCAAAGTTCAATGGTGGAAGTTGTGCTACAGCAGGAGAAAAACCTTCAGTGAAGTCTGAAAGACGTTGCACTCTTCAGAAGACTGAACCAGCAAAAAGACTTTATGCTGCAGCAGTCCCATCCTATAATAAACGTTCCCTGCTTTTCTTGGAGAACTGCCTTCCTCATGCAGTGGGTCTGGATGCTGGTAAGGACTGTGCTTTCTGCTTTTCTTTACAGCAAGTTCCATAAAACTCTTATTTCAGTCCTCTTTGAGGACAGGAAGGTGCACTTTGCATTGATGGGAGAGGACCAGTCAGTTCAACTTCAGACAATGTTGCCTCCCCACAGAGTTAATATCTGCGGATCACTATTCTGTAACCTCTTGCTGAAAATAAATGGTAGATGCCTTCATAGGTTCCAGTGCAAACTGTCCCCTCAATCAGGAACTGGGAAATTCAGTGCATAAGGGATAGCCCCTTTAATGTGGGGGCTTTGCATTATGTTTGCCTCTTACAGTTTGGATCTAGGAGCAGACTGGAGCAAGACCCTCATGTCTAGCAGTGCTTTCTCAAGGTAATGTGCCATGCGGGCTGCGTTTGTGTCAGCACAGCTGTTGAATGCAGAAATTGCAAAGTTGATATGTTCATCCATAGGGTTGTAACAGATGCCATAGCCATCTGGAACCACGGGGCCAAAACACATCACACAGTCTGTCTTTGCTGGGACCTGTGGAGACAATGCAATTAAAAACTGAACCAGTCAGAGCCATCACATGTTACGAGCTCTGTCAACAGCAGCAGAAACTGCTGCTTTGGGTGATCTTGGCTTGGGTTATGCTATTCTTTTTGCAGGGTTGACAGGGACTGTGGCAGCTGTAATCAGATCTTCAACTTTACTGGTAGCAGGCATAACATTTCTGGCCCTAAATGGAGATAAGTTGCTAACAGAAGGGAATGAAAGAGAAATCTGGAGAAGAAAGGCAATGAAGAGAGAGAGCATTTCTGTGTTTGCGTTGGATGAGTCCTACCTGGCTGGTGGAGAGGTTGAAGTGCATTGCAATAGCATATGCTGTGTCCATGAACAGTTCAGGTATGCTCACTAGGTCCTCGATGGCTTGAAGCTTCAAGCCTAAGAGGTGGCGGTCTATTGCATTGCCCCTTACTGCCTGGAAGGAAAGTAGGCTACATGAAAGCCTGTTTAGCAGCAAGTGAGCAAAAACCACCCATTTCTCTGGGTTGAAGAGCAGAACACTTCTGAAAATCTCTAAGTGCTTAAAGTTAGGAGGAAACTTGGTCTTGCCTTTAGGACTATATGTCTTGCTTTGTAAGGACTCTGACATTAAAACACACCAGTGGAACCAAGCTTAAAGTTCCTGCCTATGGGCTCCCTCTGGTTTAAGAGGTCCTCATGCAACTTTGGCATTTATCAGCAACAGTGACAGTGAGAACAGAAGCTGTGTTCATATTTGTTTCTCTCAGGTCAGTCTCAAGAGACACTTAAACCACTAGTTAAGAGAGGATTCAGTCTGTGGCCTAGAGCATTCTCAGACTGAACTTAGACCTATGATCAGCACTAAGAGCCACATTGCTGTGTCAGCAGAGAAAGCTCTTGAGATCTGATCTTTCACCAGAACCCTCATTTGCTAGATAAAACCCCAAGTCTTGGTGCAGAGACTCACCATATCAGTGTACTCCCTGTGGGCCTGGACAGCTCTCCTCAGCAAGTTGGCTTTCTCCTGGTCCTGAGAACACACAGACCTGTCTGTAAGTTTTTCTGCAGAGTGAAAACCTCATTTTGGTTGTTTCTCTCTGATGGAGGCATTTCTTGTGTGAATATATTAAGATATAAAGATACTAGATATACTAGATTTAAATCATTAGGTCTGCATTACTTCATTCTGAATGGAGCTCGCTCTCCATCTGTCAGCAGCAGAACTTGGTCTGAGTAGCTGAACAGACTTTTAGAAGGGACACACTACTTTTTGGTGGGATTAGAAATGTCCACATGTTGTCTCCCAGGCTTTCAATTCATGTGAAAGGAGAGCCAAAGGAAACCCAATACTAAGTTTTAGGTTAACTTCACACGGGCTCCAGGTCTGTTTAGCTGAAACAGCTGCCATACAGTGAGCCACGTCAGCAGCTTTGCTCTTTTTGTGGAGTCCTCTGATTCCACTTCAGTCCTCACCGATTTGTCAGGGCTGTCCATTGACTGCACAAACTTCAGGGAGGCCACAGAAGTGGAGCGGATGGTGTCTGTGCGGCCCAGGCGGAACATCCGCAGGGATGCGCTCTCGTAGGTGGCACAGGAATGGCCATACATCCTGGAAGGTGGAGAAGGAAGTCACAGGAATGAGTTTGTCCTGGGAGAAATGGCCATGGGAGAAAAGCAGAGGAACTAAGGGAGAAGGGGAAGACTTTATATGAGTGAATCCCTTTGACAGCTGACTTCTGATGCTTCCCTGCTATGACTGAACAGGCACAGAGGGGTAAATCTCACCTATTGTTTGGCAGCTGCCACAAGAGATCTGCTGTTCAGTCCCTATGCATGGGGAAAACACAGGACTTGGGAAGCAGGCCACAGCAGCCTGTGAGAGACTTGTCTGTGCTGCCTTTATGAAGCTTACGTGTTTGATATTGAAGAGGTGGTGAAGATACCTATTGGTCTTACCTGTAATATGCTAGCTGCAAGGCCAACTGGATAAAAGCATCAGGACTTATCTTCTCTGACTTGGGGAAGTCTTTCCCAAATTGATGAAACACCATGACTTTGATATCCAGGTCTTCGACCAATCTGCAAGGAAAGAAGGAGAGGGTGCTCCTTTGCATGTTGCTTGTTCTTGTAACAGATGGGCTTTTGCTTTCACAAGGCTCAGACAGAATGGGCCGTCTGGATCTGGACTATGTAGGGACAGAGAGCTTCATCACACACAGATTTGTTCAAGCAGCACGATGGAGATGAGGTGGTTTTGGCCACTGCTGAAAATCTTCACCAGGTTAGCTGGGCTTCTGTGTGTGTGTTCATGCTCCAGTATCCCTAGTTAAACCCAGTAGAGCCTTCCTGTTTCTCAGTAAATGGGATGGATCAGTAATTGCCCCTTTCCAGCACCTCTGACTTTATTCCTAGCTTGTGGCTTTAGTGTCCTTCTCAGATAAGTTCAGTGCTGCTGACTCAAGAAGTCACTGGGAAAAATCCCTGGCTGCAGTGGGGATTGAGTGAGTGCCTCATTGAAATGAGTGCCTCATTTAAAACACTGACATGTTCATAAGGGGAACATGAATGACTCCCTCAGTCACTGACCAGACTTCTCCACTGCTTTGTACTTACATGTTGAGGTCCTGCTTTGCCTTCTCTATGTCATTCTTGATTTCTGGGGTGATGTTGAACCGCAGCTTTTTGGGCATTGGCAAAGGAGTCGTGGGTGATTTTACCAGCTTGGGTTTCTTCCTGCAGAGAGAAATGGGTGTGCTGAACCAGACCTTTAACAAGAGGCTCCACTAAGCACACCTGAACCTGGGTAGAAATGCAGAGATCTCTGCTAGCACCTTGTGATAATAGTCACAGGCTGCAAAATTCCTCATGGTGCCATTATAGTGTTTTTTTGAAGGGTGTGAATGAAACTTCTGTGCCTTCTGCCCAAAAGAAACACCTCTCCCAGGTGAACATCCTGTTCACTCTGCCATTCCTGAGAGTGGAAGCAGCAGCAAAACTTACCAGAGCACCTTGGCCACTTGTTTCTCATCACAGATACAAGAACTGCACTACCTAATGAGCAACCATTACGCTTCCTCCAGAACAAGTTCCTAGGGGTGGGCTGTGAAGAGGTATGTTCTTGGGGAGTAGGTGGTTTTAAACCATCTCCAATGCTAGGGTAAAATAGAGGAGGCAGGACTCACGTGTATTCCACAATGTGATCCAGAAGAGCAACGATGGGGGGCCCTTCAGCTGGAGCATGCTCATATACAAGACCACAGGAGCCATCTTCAGCAATGATGAACTAAGAGAAGCATGAGAGGACAGTGTTGAGGATAGGCACGCAGTGTGTGAAGCAGGAGCTGACTTACTCTCACTTTTCAGTTAGCTGGAACAGCTAAGCTTTATCCCATCAGTGAAGACTTCCAAATAGGTACAAAATAGCTGAAAACATTACAGAGTTCAACAGATAGGAGAAGAATCTTAATTTAAAAGTACCACTGCTGCTATCCACAAGCCAGGATACACCAAGTAATGAAGGGTAAGCTTGAATAGCAGCTGCTGTTGAAGGCTCTTGGCAAGACTTGAGTGGAGAAGAGATCAGAGGGATGCTGTGGGATGGCAGCTTGTGTTGGAAATAACAAAACAGAATGCCATTGGGCAGCTTCTGGCAGAAGGAGAAGTGACAAGCCTCAAGGAGACACAAGGCCCAGCCCTCCCTACGCTGGGGCTGCCTCCATGCAGACGAGGCATTGTTCACCGCAGGCAGAACATTGATTTACAAGGAACACAAAGAACTGCTGACTGAGTAAGCGTGGGCAGAGGCAGCAAAAGAAACAAAACTTCCTGAGGCAGAAATGAGTGCTTGTGGTGACTGCAAGGGAAAACCGTAGGATCTCCTGCTGTCAGCCACCACACCTCGTCTCCCCTATGAGATACACTCTTGATAGGAGAACTCTCCTGCAAAAGGTTTCTGGGATTTCTTGGACCTCTGGAGCCTCAGGAAGCAGCAGCTCCTCCCGACCACGTCATCAGCATCTTTAGAGCATCAGCACTTACTTGGATGGTTTTGTCGAACCATCGGTTCCCACTGTTGAAGCGACTGCCTCCTCCGTGCAGCATCTGAGCGGCCACGGAGCTCTTGTAGGTGTCGTCAGACACCCGTGGCATAGGTGCATCCAGGCAGATAGTGCAAATGCTCTTCTCAATCGCACGCACGGATTCCTTGTTGGTCTTATCTGGGGAAGAAATGAACAGCACACGAGGAAAGGGAGTGGGAAAACGTGTTTTAATTGGGGGGAGGTTGCAATTTGAAAGAGCAGGTTTGAAGGACCCACTGTTGGATTCCCGTTGTACCTCAGTGCAATACTGGTTTTCATGGGGTGTATAGTTACTAATACTGTAGCCAGCTGGGTTGTTATAGATGTGAGTGTGCTGCATTCACCCTCCTGTTTTTACATTTCTTGCATCCCATCCATGTGCAAGGTGACAGACTCTGGGATGTCAGGTGTCAGGCTTTACCTGTGTACCTTCCAAACCAGAAATACCTCTACTTTGCAATGAAATAACATTGCTGCTTTGAGGTGAAAAACTCCTTATCTGTCCAGAACAAGCTTCCAAAGGAGAGAATGGAGCAGAGCACAGCAGTGAGGTTGGTAGTTCAAGTTAGGGGCTTGCATGTTAGGGGCTCCACAGACCTTTCAGAAGGTTGTTGTAGGCTTTTGCCCAGCTGTTTCGGTGGTTGGTGGTGAGGATCCCAACAGGTTCTTTGTTTGTTTGGAGGGAGGTGTTCCATATCTTCTCCAGCTGAATGAAGATCTGATCAGTGGTAAGGGGACTTCCATCACTGTGGTAAACATCCAGCTCAAAGAACTGAAGGGGAGAAGAGTGGACAAGGACAGAGACAGAACATGAGAGATGATCTTCATTGCCCAGCCTCTTTGAGAAGGTAAGACCTGACCTAAGAACTCCGCTTGTAACCAGACCTTTGAAAGGATGCTCAGAATTGAGAGACCCAAGTCCAACCTCCCTTACAGGCTATAAATACAGTCCAGGTTTTAAGCAGCTCAGAAGCCATGGTAATGAGGGCTGAAACATGTTAGCAGTTTCTGTTTCTGAGACTCAGCTGTGGTGGTAGGGTCTGTTACTCAGTTTCCACTTCCCATTTCCAATTCCAGACATGGTCTCTAAGCTTTGAGATACAGGAATTGCAGGGACAGGAGCCAGGAAGAGAGTGGTTTTCTGCCTCATAGTCTGTTGCTCACGCATGGCAATCCCAGCTGTTGGCCAAACAGGATAAAGGGAGCAGGAATAAATCCCTGGTGAGGCAAATCTTGCTGTTCCCTTTCCTCTGGACCACCCCTAGCAGAAAGGGATACCTGCCTCTAAACACCCCTCAAGAGCTCACCATACCTGGAAGTTGTGAACCACTGTGATGTGTCTGGACTGGCTCTTGCCTTTGGCATAGTTGACGATGCTGTCCCGCTTGGGCCCGGGGATGCGGCAGGATGAGAGGATATGGTAGTACTGGTTCATGCAGAGGGGCTTCCCACCCATGTAGTCCACTGGAAGGGTCTCACTGGAGACACAGCAAGGTAAGGAGGAGGGGGGAGAGAAAAGAGATCAGTCAGAAGGTTTGCACTGCCCACACAAGAGAGAACAGGCTCAGCCATGCAGCTGCTGCCACCTGCTCCAGCAAGACCTAAACATGTTGGTGCTGATGGTATAAAAAGGGGCTGTCATTTCCCATTCCTCCCAGCTTCCTTACTAGGGGCTACAAATGATGTCTGTTTGCTGTCCTTTCTCTTCCTCTCTGTAACACCAGAGTGAAAAATCTCTGGACCTGCTACATAGCTTAGCATACACCAGAAAAGAATCCAGGGCAGGATATACTGGGAGATGTGTTTGTTTCCTGTGAATGCCACAAAGAGGTTTTCGGCTGTAATTTTGTGAGGTGAGTGTCTTAGTGTGACTCATGAACTAGACTGGGACTCAGTGGAACACTTCAGCAGTCATATTCCAACTGCCCTTTCCAGTGCTAACCCTGAGTCTCATCTGAGTTTGGATGTAAAGGTGTGATGTTGGTAATGTGTTGGTAAATGTATTTTTGGAATATAAATAAGGCATATTTAGCAGAGTTGGTGATCAGAAAGAAAAAGGGCCAGGAGGAATAAGTTTCTTTAAAGCTCATCTCATCTGAGAGATGAGAAACAGCAAACCCAAACTGAGAGGAGCAGGTACCACTGCCTGAGCTGTAACTTGTTCTGTGGGCAGACAGAAGCATGTGGCTGTTCAGAACTGCCAGCCAGGCTCACTCCCTCTAAGCATGTACACATGCCAATGGAAGTATTAAGGTAAACAGAGAAGGTGAAGAAAGCAAAGTTAAGTTTGCTTTTTTCCAGTTGTGATGTTGGTTGCAGTATCTCATTTCAAATGCATGCTGTCATCTCTTGCCTTCCTATTTGGAAGGAAGATTTATGGGCTAGGTTTGGCCTCTGACAGGAACACATGAGCAGCCAGGAGGGTCACTAACTCACTTGTCAATCATGGACTTGAAATCCAAGATGCCCTCAATCAGCTTGGCAGCAAACCTGGAAAAATACCAAATGTGACAAGTTAAGATTCAAACAGAACATCCAGGCCTGAAGGAGGAGCTGGGAGGGCTGCAGAGCTGCTCTCTGCTCCTTTCACAGCTCAGCCTTTCTGCCAAGCCCCTGCTGTGCCCATCTCTGGTGAGTTGATGCAGCCACTCTGGGGTTGTGGTTCCAGATTGCTGAACAGTCCTGCCATGTACAACTTTCTTTACTGTATCCTGCTGTATAACCAAGGAACTCTGGACACCTTTCAAGAGCTCCGGGTTCAGTCCAGATGCATGACCCTTTCACAGCAGCATTTTTTACTGATGTGTCGTGATTTTATCCTAATTCTGAGTCTTAGCATTAAAATAGCACTAAGAAAAGGAGATTTCTGCCCTTCCCTGGCCAGGGGCCACCTCTGTTTCAAACCAAGACACAGCTGTATCTCCCTGCATCCAGAACTCACCACTGCTGATGTAGTTCCTGCCTGATAAATGTTCTGCTGCTAATGCACCTCTTAAGAGCACTCTTATGGCATTGTGGGGTCTGAAACAAATGCAGGCATGCTGCATGCTGCCACTGAGGGGTTGTGCTCACCAGGATCCACATAAACACAGCAGGGAGGGAGGCTGGGATAGGCCACATCAAACTGACAGGTTGGCCTACTCTGACCCAAGAGTTCTCACCCACACATAGGAGGCAGGAGGTCACTGTGACAACAGGCTGCAGTCAGCTGAACTTCAAGGCTTTAAAGTGGTGCAAGCATTTGGCGTTTGCAGGCAGTGTTGTTGTAGATTTGCTCAGCCTACTCATCCCTAGTAAAGATCAAAGGATGCAACTCCAAGAATCTGAGGGCTGTTAAACAAAGAAGTCATCCTGCAAGAGAGTTTCCCAATTTCCCAGCTTTATTGCAAATCCTGAAGCAGTAAAACAGCTGGGAAACTTCAGTGAGAGAGCCTGTGCTCCTTCCCAGAGAGCAAGCATCCTGGGAGCAGAGGTGGGGATTGAAGAGCAGATGGGGCAGAAGTGAATTGACTTGATTTTAGCCAGCAGTGTGGCCAGATTGAGGAATGGAGAACTCTCCTTTCTACACTTCTGGTTTCTGCAGCTTTAATCACAAGCTGTCAAACTTCTTCCTGCAGCTGCAAACCATACAAACATGCATGTAGATTGTGTTTTACATAGGAGCCCAGAATCTTATGCAGCTGCTCAGTTCCATTGGTTGGGGCACTGCTACTGCTCCAGATCTTATCTTCTGCTTGGGTAAGTTAAGAGTGAATAATATGAGTGAGAGCTTTCAAAGATGTTTGGTCCTGCACTGTCCCTGTAAGGCACCTCCTCTCAGGTATAGCCAAGGAAGTAGAAGGGAGGATTTGTTCTCAGCCTCACTGCTCCTCTTTGGATCTGCAGAGCAGTGATGACTGGTAACTGTGGCAAAGGTAAAGCTGTATAAAGGTCAGTGCTAAAGTTTTGCAGATGGGTTTAACACTTGTCATGGTGGTTAAAAATTAAAGGGAGGATACAGGGAAGAGAGGATATAGCAGGGTTTGACGGCAAGGGAAAGCTCCAAGTGGAGGGGCTGCTCAGTGTTAAGTTTCCCAAACCACAAATCACAAGTGAAACAGCACAACAGGGGCAGTCCTCTGCAGGAACAGGCTGAATGACAGTCTCTGGAGAGGCTCCCTCACCCCTGTCAACTAGCAAACTCCAGAGGCATTCCTGGTTGGTCTCCTTTACGTGCCTGGGATACTTTTTCATGCCTCCTTTCACTGCACACACAGTCTTAGTGCCTCTTAGTCTTCAGTGTTGAGATAATCCTGACAGTGCCTCCAGGCTGTGATTTGTCCATCTTGCAATGAATTTCTGTGCTAGAGCAAAGACTGATAGATAGGTTTTTAGTCCCTGTTTAGTACCTGAACCACTGGACTCTTTGATTTTCCCCCTTGACAAAATACTTAGTCTGGTGCAACCAGGAGCTTCCTTATCTGTACAGCCCTCTTGCACAGCACAGCTGGCTATCAAACTTGGGGACCACATGATGATTACTCTCTTTTCCAGTCAGCCTAAATACCCTCCTCCCTGTCCAGCAGAGATAGCTCATCCCATCTGAAACCTAGGGGGAAGCAGAAAAGGATCTTACCTGAGCTGACCTTGTCGATCCAGAAAATCTTGCTTGGGTAAAACCACAGCTGGGCTGGAGTGGACCACAACAGGCAGGCGATACTCCAGGTAAGCTGTCTTCAGCCACCAGTCTGAGAGCTGGGATGGAGAAAGGAGACATGGAGGTATGGCATCTGCTGCTGTCTGACCCAAGCCTGGCTGAGTGGTCTCGGCATCCTGCCCCCACTTTGCAAACAAGCTGTTTGGGTTCTATGCTTTGCACATGGAAGGGTAGAGAGCAGTCTGAATAAGGAGGTGGGGGCTCCTGGTGCAGAGCTGGAGCAAAGGCTTTTCTTCCACGTCTTGGGGCAGCTGTGTGGTGCTAACAGGTTAGACACTTCAGAAGCCACAGACAGGGTCAGTGACTCCCTGTTGTGCCATAAATCTCTCTGCTCACCCAAGTGCTGGTGAGGAGCTTGCACAGCTCAGGAGAAGAAGGTGATGCCATAAAAACCGAGGGTGCCAGTGGATGCAGCCAGGACATTGGAGAGGGGTGGGGAACACCCTCCCCAACCAGAGCCTGGGGGGACATACCCAGTTCTCTGTTTTCTTGGCTCTTCTCTCCAGGCCTTTCTGCAGCCTCTCCCCGACACCTCCTGGTTTGCAGAACTCAGCCACCAGCTCCTGTGTGTGGTTCAGCTCCTCCTCGGTGATGATGGGCTGCAGAGCCAGCAGGTACCGGTCCAGCGTTTGCTGCAGCGGCGGCACTGGGAGATGGGGCAGTGCTTCCTGATGGACATGGAATCTGCCTGGGATCTTGCCTAAAGCTTTTGGCTTCAGGAGGCCGCAAGGCCTGGCCTGCAGAGCACAGAGCAAATGTCAAGACAAAACTTCCCGCTCGCGTGGTAGCAAATAACCTGGATCTGGGAGTATCCAGCCCAGCCTCTCTGAAGCACAAGGATGTCTCTGCACAGGAAGCAGAGCACACGAAGTCCAAAAGCAAGGCACAGGTCTACTGAGTGTGTGCTACAGATGGTTGTAGGCCATCCAGAAAAGCTGCAAAAGGGAAACTTGATCTCACAAGATACTGACTCTCAGCTCGTCAGAGGAAATGCTGCCAAAATAATGATATATCTCCCACTCCCTGGGCACCTTTCCAGCTGTGAGCCTCCATGCATTCATGTCAAGTCAAACCCTTCCATCCCATGGTGATTGGGAAGAAAGTAAATTATGAAAGAAATACTCATCTTACAGTCAGAAATGGTTCCATTCCTTCTTAACAGCAGCCTAAGGCTAGATAGAAAGTTAAGCAGAACCCATGTGCCAAATCAAACTGCCCACTGGGCTTTGATGAGGCAGAATGCAGGTAACTTTGGGAGAGGATTAAAATGCCTCTTCCCTGACTGACCGGGGATCATACATCCCAGTGATGGTCAGGGAAGGACTGGCTGTGATGTGTAGGCCTTGAGGCAATGTTCCTTTACGCTGGTGAACCTCCCAGTTACCCATCTATATCAAGAGAACGGCTATCCAGTTGTAGCAGCACGGGACTGGTCAGGTTCCAGGAGCCTTTGGAGATGGAACAGGGGGAGTTCTTCAGGAAACTGTCTCCTGAAGTCCGAAGCCTTAGAAACCACCATACCATTTATCTGGGTGGAGAAGTGGAATGGAGCAAACCCAGCTGCTAACCAGGAAATAAGCTTGCTGGTTTTCCCTCAAAAGAATACCAATGTGTGAAGCTCATCTTCAGCACGAAGCTGTTTAAATTGTACTTTAAAGGTTTTCAGTTCCCTCTGCTCCTCCCCCTCTATTGGATCCACTGACTCGAACAGCCTCCAACAGGACTCTGGACTTTGCACTGTCAGTGCATGGCAACACAATGGAGGATGCAAAGCCAGTGAGAACATTCCCTTTGATTTCCAAGGCAATGAGAAGACAGCTGTCCCTCCACCTCCTCCCAGCACAGAGAAGAAGAAAGGAGCTAAATCTGCAAGGTGACAAAGCCTCTGGTGGTACTGAGACCCCAGGACTATGAGATTGAGGTCTGCAGAAGGTATGTTAAGAACGAGAGAAGGGGGAATTGCTGAAGCATGAAAGCAGAGCTGGGCTGGGAAGAAATAAAGGGTGTTAATGCTGGCAGTGTGGGCATACCGTACCTCCTCTGCTTGCTGCTGCTTCCTATCCATGGCTGGTAGGCCAGAAAAGACCATAAAGCTCTCTCTCTGCCTGTCTCGGTTTCCTCTTCCACCTGACAATGCGGTGCCCGTGCAGGGCATCACCTCATTAGTAAACTGCCACGTGGCTGCTCTTGATCAGAGGGCTCAAGGCCAGGCCCAGGAGAGGCTGGGGGTAATCAGACCATCAGTGTGCATCAGCTGCCACCAAGGGGCCTTTCTGAGGAACCCTCCCATGGCCACCAGCCATCAGCCCTGCACTGCCCCATTGGTACTTCCTCATTAGAGTCTCTTGCTGAGCAATAGCTCTGGGCCTGCAGCCACGGCAGACAGAAGTGAAGGCGCTGGGGATGTTCCCTCAGCCTTTGCCAGGACTGTTTTCATGGCTGGTGTGAGAGAACCCTGAATATCAGGCAGGAGAGACCCCAGTCTGTGTCTTGGAAGGATGTGCCACTGTGGGCTGCCGCTGGATGGGATGAGCTGCTGTGTTGATGGGCTGTTTAGGGCCGTTGCTCAGGCAAAGGTGGCTGGAGGCTGTCAGAGGAGGGAAGCTCTCCAGCAGGAACCAGACATGAGCCACCAGCTCTGTAGGTGTGTAGGATTAGTTGGACATGGGAACACATTCACTCTGGGGGAAAAGGCAGTGTCCTAACCAGGCTCATACCTCATGCATGGCCATTATTGCAAGAGGAGGCTTTGGGCAGTTCTGCATTCTCATCCCTTAGAATAAAATAGGTTTCTCCATAGCAGGGCAACACGAGAAATGTGCGGTCATGAGGAATATCACCCCCTCCTTTGTGTCTGTGGGGTAGACAAGCTTAGTCTTAAGATCAAGATGATGATACCTAAGGTCAAGTATGATGATTCCAAACAATTTTTGTTTTTTTCCTGTTACCAAAGGGAAAACCTAAACCAAATCAATGGTTAAAACATGGAGTGCATTTGTACCTTTCCTCTTTTATGTCCTCTGGTTGCTTGGTTTGATGTGAAACTCAAGTGTTTGGTGGGAAGAGGCCCAGGGATGGCAGCTGAACAGAGGCAGCAGCTGGCAGGAAATACTCCACCTCTCCCCACAAGCAGCAGGGAAACCAACACCGGCAGAGAGCAGGGTGCGCAGGCAGGGGCAGGGCGGCTCGTGAGCTGGCATCGCTCCCCAGCCACGTTCCAACACAGCGCTGACCTTTTCCAGAGCCTGCAAAGCTGGTGGGAAGTGCACCTACAGCCTGTGGCTGGGGGCAGTGCCTGGTTCCCAGCACGGCTACAATATCTGGTGTCAGGTGGCAGAGCCTTGTCTCTTTATTTCTAAGTTAGAAGCTACACAACCCTACCAGCCCCTCGGGAAGTGTCTCCAGGAGCACATCCATTCATGTAGCTCTGCCTTCTCCTCCCTGGGATCCATCAGTGCAATAAACAGTTCCTCTAGGAGTAGGGCTGACAGCTCTGCCATATGTGTAGCCTTCCCCTTGCTTGCAGGCAAAGTCATGTTTTAAAGGCAAAACTTGCAGCTGCAGACGGCTGCTCCATGGGCCTCCCTTGCCCCTGACCAGCACCCACCTTCCCTGCCATCACCCAGCCCCAGGGCCTCCATCTCTGGTGACCAAGCCCCTGAAGAGCCCAAGTTCGTGTGAGCAGTGTCCCTCCTGCCCCCGGGTAAGCAGCACTCTCATGGCTCCCTTTGCACGCTCCTCACAGCCAAGATCCTCTGAGTGAAAGGCCTCAGCCTCCATCCATACAGCCCTGCCGTGGTTCTCCTCCAGGCTGAGGGCGCGGGGCCAGACCCTGACAGCACCAACACGGTCATGCTGGGGTGAACTTTGGAGAGCTGTGGAGCCATCTCCTCCCTCATGGAATCAACCAGGGTGGAAAAACCCTTTAAGCTCATCCAGCCCAGCTCTGCCAAGGCCACCACTAACCCACGGCACTGAGGGCCTCGTCTTCACGGTGTGTGAACCCTTGCAGGGACGGTGACTGCAGCCTTGCCCTAAGCACTCTCTGGGGTAGGAATTGTTCCTCAGCCGCAGCTTGAGCCCGTTTCCTCTCGTCCCTTCCCTTGTTCCCTGGGAGCAGAGACCGACCCCAGCTCACCACCACCCCTCAACCGGCTCCAAGGGGCGCAACCGGCCCGTGCCACCGCGCCCGGGGGACGCAGCCCCGGCTCTGCTGTCCGCCCGCTGCCCGCACAAGGAAGGCCCCAACCGCAGCCAGCCCCTTCCTTCCCGGGGCGGGTGGCGCAGCCCGGTCGCCCCCCCCCCCCATCCCGGACCACCCAGAGTCCTCCTCCCGCGGTGTCCCCGCACTCACCGCAGCCTTCGCCACCCGGGCCAGCATAGCTCCCTGCCGCCCGCCGCAAGGACACCGGCAACACCGGGCGCCACCGCCCCGCCTGGCCGCCAAGGGGCGGTGCCGACCCGCCGCTATCTTGGAGGAGGACGAAGCCAGCGCCGCCATCTTTGTGAAGGGCACGATCCCACAGTGAAGGGAGCGAGCCCCGCTGCGTGTCGGCGACGGGATGCGGCTCCTCTGTCACCTGGGAGCCGGCGAGAAGCGTCCTCCCGCTCGCCCAGCCGTGCTTCCTCGCCCCGCGGCCCTGTGTGGACACAGGGGAGCGTGCTCCACACAAACATGGCGGCGCGGGAGGCTGGGAGGAGACACGCCTCCGGGTGACAGCCCCGCGGGTGACAGGGCCGGGCGGCGTGCCCGGCTCAAAGATGGCCGCCGGCGGCTTCGGCGTGGCCGGAGGTGAGGGGTGAAGGGTGGCAGCAACGGCGGGGCTCCGGGAAGATGGCAGAGAGCGAGCGGCGGGCAGGTGAGGGGCGGCCTCGGGGCCTCCGGGGGTGTCTTTGGGGCCGGGCCAGGGTGTGTGGGAGGGGGCCCGCAGGGCCTTGTGCTGCACGGGGGCGACGGCAGCGAGTGCCCGGTTCTGAGGGGGGTGAAGGGGAAAGCGGCTTTGCTGCGGCTGCGGAGGGGCCCTGGAGCCGCCTGACCCTGGGCCGGGCCGGGAGGGGAGGGGAGGGGAGCACCGACACCGGCCCCGCTGCGCCTGTTCCCCCCCCCCCCGCACCCCGAGGCGGCGGGGCTGGGCTGGGCTCTGTACCCAGCGCAGGGAGCGGGGACGGGCGGGGGAGCCTCGGGCCTGCACGGTCGGGTTTTGGGGTGCTGGAGCTGCTGCAGCCGGGGCTCCCCGGCACCCACAGCCCGGTTGTTGTGACGCCGGTTTCCCGTGCTGGGCTGGGGGCTGTTTGCAGGGGTCCATTGCACCCCTTCCCCACGAGCTTGGACTTTTGCTTCTGTATTATTACAACCTCTGCAGCCCGCACTGTGCTTCCTTCTTTCAGTATCCGTGGTCCCCTCCCCAAGAGGCAATGCACGGTGTGTGTGTGTGTGTGTGTGTGTGTCAGGAAAGGGATGGCTGAGAAACAAATAAGAAAGATGACCCAAGTTCTGCGATGAGGCACAGGCTGGGCTGAGACCCGGGTCCCCCCGCTCCAGGGCACTGCCCTGGCCCCATCTCTGGCCTTTCTGTACTATCTGTATTGATGGAACAAGACACTGTTTGCCGTTTCCCCCCACGGCTCTGGTGTTTATCGTTGTTTTGGTGTTCCAAGCTCTTTTAAAGTAAGAGTTCTGTGGTTGCTGTGCTGGTCACTGAGCTGTGTGCTGGATTTCCAGGGGAGGTGTGTGTGACTTCCATTTAAACTCCCTGTGTGCTGTCCCTCTATCCTTGTACCTGGAAGTTTTACTGTAACTTTGGAATTAACCATAAACACCCCGGGCAGGTGATGAGGTTTGTTCCAGAGATGAGGAATCTGAAAGGCAGAGAAGCTCAACGACTACTGAAGCTTGTGTGACAGTCTGCAGCAGACCCAGGTCACAGTGGTTCCTGTGACTTGGGATTCCTTTTTCCCCTTAATCTGCCTCCAAGACAGCGCTGCTGTGCTGCAGAAAGGGCTGCTCATGCTCCTGGGTAGTGTTTTCCATGTAAACGCAGCTCATTATGCTTTAAGGAGTTGGAGTTTGTGGTAGGGGCCTATAGGGATGCTGGGGAGGGACTCTTCATTAGGGACTGTAGTGACAGGACAAGGGGTAACGGGTTCAAACTTAAACAGGGGAAGTTTAGATTGGATATAAGGAGGAAATTCTTTCCTGTTAGGGTGGTGAGGCACTGGAATGGGTTGCCCAGGGAGGCTGTGAATGCTCCATCCCTGGCAGTGTTCAAGGCCAGGTTGGACAGAGCCTTGGGTGCCATGGTTTAGTGTGAGGTGTCCCTGCCCATGGCAGGGGGGCTGGAATTGGATGATCTTAAGGTCCTTTCCAACCCTAACTATTCTATGATTCTATGTGTGTGTTAGGGAGCCAGTGCTTGAACTTGCTTTAGTGCAGAGAGCAGCAGCTGAAGCTGGTGCTGAGCAAATGCCCTCAGATGTTCTAGGATTAACAAACTGAACTGGGTGACTCTAACACAATGCAGAGTCTCACATCAGCACCCAGGTTCCTTAACAGTGGTCTCCTGCCTGCTTCTTGCTGTTGAAAGCTACACTTATAGGAGTATAATGCAAATCGCCTCTAACTTCATGCAGCATTTGTGGCTTCCAGTGTCCCATTGCCATCCCCCTCACAGCAAACCTTGGGTTGGAGGCTGGGGAAAAGAGCCCCTGTAGAGCATTAACAACTTGTGTTTGGATTAAATATTACATTCTGGGCTCTGGGAGAGCTTTAAAATGAAATGATCTTCACAGCATCCCCCTGGAAGAGGCTGTGTCTTGGAATCCTCCAAGCCCTTGTGCTGCCTGGACCAGGGGCTGCGGCTCTGGAGTGCCACCTATTGAATTGCTCCAGCTTTATCTTTGCAGGAGTTGGCCTTTTTAGAGGAGAGCAGCTCAGGTTTAACACCCTAAACCCAAGGCACGGTTGGTTTGTTAGGAGAGCTCAGTGCTCCACATGACCTGAGGCTTGGCTTCACTAGACTGAAACTAGGTGGGTGTTGTCTTTGTTATCTCCCGCACCAGCCTCTCTGCCTGGATGGGAAATGCAGGGGAAAACAAACGTAATGCCACTTTCTGAAGCCTTGCAGTGTCCTTAGGAGTATGTTATCTGGGGATTGGGAGGGCACTGTTTGGTGAGGAGGACTTGGTGAGATAACAGTGCAAGCTGGGAGAGGTCTCCTAAGAAGTACATGCTGATTTCTAAGAAAAGATAGAGAATTCCTTCTTCTCCACTGCCTCTATTTTACCTCTTTTTTGCATCTCCCAGGCACTACTGAGGAGGTGACTCCTCCCCTCCAGCAATGCTTCATGATCCCCAAAAAGGAGATAAACATGGTTTCTGACATGGCCAAGTGGAAGCGTTCTCAGGTACGGCTCTGGGCTCAGGGAAGACTGGTAAGTGGTGGTTATGCTTCAGGGGCAGCCAGGTCTGGTCTGGGAGCAGCCAAGAGGTAAAGCAGGTTTGGGCAAGTAATGGGAAATGAATTGGTTTGTGTTTTAAAGCAGAAGAGTCACTGCCTCTTTGTAGGAAAATTACTTGGCAGCAAAATGCTTCAACAAAGGAGGGAGCCAGGGAGAGCCCAGATGTTCAGAGAGCCCAGAGATGTTTAAAAATCATTAGTGCTCCCTCCCAACAAGCTCGACAAGAAGCCGGTAACTATTCCACCCTATGTGGTCTGACATTACACCAAAACTGGATTTACCCAGCACTGATCAAACTCAATGTGGTCCTGGTCCTCTAATAGCACCAGTCTGAGTTGTATCCTGAGGCCTTCCCACCCTGCTGTACTGGAAAGGGCTCTACAGCCCAGGCCTTCAATTGCCTGGGTAATTTCTGTTTACAGTATGTGTGGAGCTGGTGGAACAGCCCTCCTGCCTCTGAGGGCTTGGTGTGTTAGCCCAGACTTGTCCCACCTCTTAGGAGCAAGTTCTCCCTTCCAGACTGATCTGTGATGTCTTAAGAGAAGCTTAGGTTATAGCCAGGTGTCAGGCAGATCTTTGAGTGCAGCTTCTTTGCTTGATCTCCTGGGTTTAAGGACTTGCTCCTGGTCAGGATTTCTGTGTAAGAGAGGCCTGAGGAGGGAGAAGTGGCAGTGTGCTTGTCTACTGTTCCCAGACACTGGAAATGGTGCTTCAAAAGCAGCCAA